AAAACAGTTGTAAGCCTCTGGAAATCCTGAACTAAAAGGTACTAAAGGAAACCACCACTAGATATCATCATCTGACTATCTAATAGATATCAGAAAAATTGTTAACCTTGATCTGGCATGTCAAAATCCCTATTACGCACCCAGGTAGATTAAGTCACCTTCTGTCGGGGCTCATATCCTGCTACAGGGAACAGGCTGGGGGATGACATCATAACTATAGGTCACAGTTAATTAGGTAGATCTAACTGAAGAGCCCAGCTTGCTCCAGGGTCCCGGTCCCAGTACCCGATGAACATTTCTCTGTGGGGACATGGAATGAGAACTGGAAATGAAAGCACAAATTCCCTGCCAGTATTTCTCCTTCAACTTTGGATTTTCTGGCCCGTGGATAAAGATAACTGCCAGCCAGAATTGGGCCTTATGTGTCTGACCTGTAAAATAGGGCGCTGCTTTCATTTGTAATAAAATACACCTGCTGTCCTCCAACAGCCTGGAAAAGCACACCTTTTAAGTGATTTTTTTTTTCCTCCATGTAATCTGAGTTTACCAAGCCATTTTTCCTGCTAGTGAAAACGGGCACAGCTCCAGCACAGCTGGAGTAAGTTTTACTTGCTTAAATTCAGAATGGGACTCAGTATCATTCAAACATAAATAAATCCAAAGCATGTCATGGATTGAAACGTGTCAATTAAAATAAAATGGAATTTAAAAGAGTATCTAAGTGACTAATAAATCTATTTGTCTCATCTTTTCAGGAATTAAGAGATTTTGCTCCTAAAATGTATTCTGCAGCAACACTGCAGATGTTTTTCTTCCTACAAAGAGAAATGAATTTTGAGAAGTTATTTAAATTTTGGATTAAACCAGAATACCAAATACCAGGTGGAAAAGTAGTACACAGATGATACTTTTCCGTGGGCAAAACCATAAAGCATCAATTAAAAAAATATAGTCTGTGATGCTTTACATTAACAATGTGCATTTATGTACATCTTCACTCGCACTGCTAAAACATGGATTATTGTGCTAAGTAGCAACATAAATCAGCTGAAAATTCATTATCCCTTTCCCTTCTCCATACTGTGCACGTATTTAAATTCTAAAAACTCAGTCAGCTTATGTTTTTCTATTAGAAAAAACAAAACCCAACAGCATGCCTGCAATAAAGTCATGTATTATCCTTACAGGTGCCAGATATACCCTTGCTTAGCTGCATCCGTAATACGGCTGGTTTCAGTATAGCTGCTATCATGACATCTATAACACCCTCCTCGCCTCCGCCAGGTTGTCATTCAGGCTATAATTATAATAAAGGCCACAGATAACAAGCTTTTCTCATAACTCTGATTGTTGTGTTGTGTTTTGTTTTCATTCTAGCTAAAATTGTCCACATATCTGATAAAACTAATTCAAAGATGGGCTCTGAAACCAGTCCTGAGGAGGTACGGGATGGACACAGCTTCACAGTAACCTGGGATCCTGCCAGATACAGAAGATTCGTTTCCAAATCCTCTCCTGCCGCTCCAGCTCTCTAACAGTGATGGGAGAAGCGGGTCCATCAGGGTTTCTCCTGCTGTAGCAGCTGACGATGCTCAGCAGCTTCTGTTAAGATCAATGCTGAAACCGCAGTTGACTTCACGGCTGGGGTTCTGAGGTCAGCAGGAGCGCACAGCAGGTCTCCAGTAACGCATTTCTCAGGGCTGGAAAGGACAGAAAAACGACCAGAGTCTGGACCTCCGGAGCTTTAAACTCTGACTTCCACACTTCCTGAGGAAGAACCTTGTGCAATTAACTTCTCTGAAGACTTTGGTCTGAACTATAAATATGTCCTAGGGGAAATCAAAGGCTAGGGCAAGGCGGCACAAATGCCACAGAGCGCTTTGTTTTACGGTTAATTGCAAACCCTTTGGTTACTGATGCCCTTTGGAAGATTATTTTTTTGTTCCTCTTGCCCCCAGTTAACTTCCTCTACTGAGGAAGACTTTAGAGCGCTGCTCGCTCTGGACTCTTCCAGAATTTAATGAAGTCATTTGGACTCTTGACTTGATTTTGAATGCTGAGAAGGGGATTAATGAGACACACGTGGAATTAGGGCAAGGCACAGTAAAAACAAAGCATCCTTTCCCATCATCCTCTTAGAAAAGAGGGACCAGTTTCTGTGTGACTTCCACTCCTTGCACCACTAAGGTCAATGGGCATTTTTGATCAGGCAAGGATGTTCACTTAGGTCCTGGACATGCAGGAGTCTGGTTTTATTTAGTTATTTGTTACACTCTCAGCAGGAGTTGTCTTTGCCTGTCATTTTAATCAGGAGAGAGAGGTTTGTTCTTTGGCCACCCAGATCACTTTTGTCACAGCAGCAGATTCTTCTCCATCCTGCCAGTCAAACTACAGCAATCTCTCTTTTCTGTCATCCTTCCAAAACCACCCATCCTACCACAACGCTACCATGGAAAAGTCTGCCTTGGACTGAAGACTTCCTGCAAAAACAACACAAAAGATTGAAAGCTGGACATTCAAAGTGAGAAACAAAGAGCAGGACTAGGATTTTCAAAGGCAGCTGAGGGACACGAATGCACAGCTTCCAAGGCAGTTCCAGAGAAGCAGAGTGCCCACCTTCCTACAGCTCCAAGGTCAAAGTCTAAAAAAAAGCTGGGAAACACCTCAAAACCAGGGGTATTCACTCCGCTCAGACGCTGATTTGGCTCATTCAGACCATCTGTCAGACTGAGCAGCCTTGTCAGCCAACCATTAGTTTTGTGTTTTATTTCAGAGCTTTGATCTCATCTTTGAGTATACGTACCGTATATTCAAATACATACATGCTTGCATCTGAACATGTGTTAGACATTACGTGCGTCACTAAAGTGCACGGCCCAATGAATTTAAGTTCCACCGATCCTAAAAGACACTGTGAGGCATCAGAAAAGGTTAAAACCATTAAGATATACGAAAGTATTGTAGTTCCCTTTCCATGATGCACGCTGCTATATTTAGCAGACTGTTCGACACCGCGTACGATGACGCACGCAGCGGCAGTTGCATCCTCCTCCTCCTCCAAAAGAAGCCCCGTGCCATGAAGGTGCAGTCTCTACATACACACAGCTTATGAAGGTTCCAGTACACTTTTTTCTGCACATTTCCTTCCCTGTATAGACCAAAACAAGTACAACTTTAAGCTCCACCACACAGTTCCTGTTACAATAAATGCAACTAATTAATAAGCTAAATTACTTGAATTAAGAGCTTCAAGGTGAATCCCTGTGAAATCAGATCTTCTCAATGTTCTGAGGCATTCTTTCAAGCCTACTGATATTTTCATTATAAATCTCAGCTCAGAGATGATTTTTAAAACAGCTCAACAACTAAAAGATGCTGATTTAAAGGAAAAAAAAAAAAAAAAAAAAGACACAACCCAAGCAAAAAAACCCAATGAAACCCAAACAACTTTGATCTCTTCAAAGGACTGATCAGATGTCAAGGGCCTTGATTTACAAACACAAATATGTTTGCATTTGATGTATTATTACCTAGAGATCACAAGATCCTTCGTATTCTTAGAGGGTTGACAAAGATTTAAAAGATGCCTATTATGCATCGGAGTTTAAGAGACGCGTCTCAAACGCAAAGTAGGTTTTGGGTTACATTAGTTGTTTCACTGAGAAGCTCTGCTTTATAACTCATCCCACACCTATGCATGGAGCGCATCAGGAACCAGATAAAACGACTTAACTGGCACATTAGCGTTCATCACAAAGCTCACGATCCTATAGTTTGTTGATTTAACTAGCACATTAGCATTCATCACAAAGCTCACAATCCTATAAATAGTTTGTTGCTGGATTTTGGATTTGGATTTCATCATTAAAAGCCAGAACTGCATGTGTGTCAAACTGTACTCAGTCACAGCTCCAGTAAAGAGGTTTTCTTACTAGAGGAAAACTTCTGCACACCAGGTAACAGTCTAATTCATTTATCAATGTGACACAGCGATTAATTTCCAGTTGAAATACTTACTGAGAAGTAGTAACAGGTAAGGAAGGAAATGGGTTTGAAAGCTGAATAACAAAACTACCGTAACAAAATCTGCACCTACATTTCCAAACGAAGATGAAGAAAGTTTGCACTACCTTTTCAGGGACGTCGCAGTTGTCTTGGCTTGCTGAGGTTGCAGGTGCTTCATTTCCAAGGAAATAAAGGCAGAGTCCATTTACTAAAAATGCAGATGGAACATAAAATAACAACATACTGACAGAATGCTGAGTGTATTTCAAAGAGGTAAGGATTTATTTAAAAGGAATTTTTTTTTTTTTTACACAGAAAATTAGATACTTTTACAACCTTGACCAACTATTTCAAGATTTTCATTGTAACATACTCCATCTACAAACATACACACACAAAAATATTAGCGTCTTCATTCATATATCATGTTGATATATTTCCTGTGTATGATAATACACACAAAATAATCCAGAGTCTGCAACACCTCCATCTGCTGACAAGATTTCCAAACCAGACAAATATTTTTTCAGTCACTGATACCAAAGTTTGCAGGAGCAAAATTCAAACGTGAATGTCCAAAACTTGGGCTATATAGCCCAATCCAAAGTCCAGCGAGGACAATGTGACTCTCTCACTCACAGGCTGGCTGGCTGAGTCTCTTACAGCAAAGTTCTGCCAAGACACCTCTTGATCAATTTTTCTTGCAGGAGTAAATCTGATGGTACATGATTGCAGTTACTCATACAGCGTCTTAGAAGGAGGACGTATGCATTATAAAAATACTGTTGATTAGCATTTTAGAGAGAAATTCATTTTAAATTCTGTATTAGAAGAAAGAAAAGTTACCTTTACTTCCTCTGCTAATAAGTACAGTAGACAAAGCATGGTTTATGCCTTAAAATATTTATTTGAGAAAGTCTGTAGTGTGTAAATGTTTCCATTTCCCAATCTAATCCTTAGAGGGAAATATTCATATCTGAATTGTATTCATCTCTTCAGCCAAGTAGATCAGTCACGATATAAACCGCATCCTGCGGCTCTCTCACACACGCTGGGTTTGAGATTTGTAAGCTTGGAGTACTAAATTCGGAGCTATTTCTGTTGGTAGTGTTGCGCAAACTAAACAAAGCTAACGAGTGCAAGAGCACTTCTCTGGCTTTTGATGTTTCTATATTCTGCTCCTGGGATATCTGAAAGCTTAGCTGATTCAAGTTACTCCTCATCAAACTGCAAGTGAGGAAGTTTCTTACAGAACCACACCTGGTCAAGTTTTCTTCAAAAAACTGTTTATAGAGCTCTGCCACTTTTGTCTCCATATACTTGTTGAGCATGGAGTTTGACAGAGGCTCCTCACAGAGCATGATACTCCTTTCTCCAGCTTCATCTCCAGACAGGGACTTCATACCCGGCTTCTCGGGATGCTCACACAGAGGGGACTGACCTAGAGGAATATCTATGGACAGCAGAACAGGGCCATCAGGAAGTTCATCACACGCGTGGTCCAAAACACAACCCGAATCACACGTGTGGTCCCCCACACGGTCCCCTCCAATGTGTAAATCCGGATAGTTTTGATAAATGCTGTTGCACGACCAGGATCTATACAAATCCATCTGTTTGGTAGTTTGTTCTCTTTTGGGGATACGTAGAGCTAGTGATACTGTTCCTTCAGCAAGCATTTTCTGATCTTTTGCAGGTAACTCTTTCACAGATTGCCATTGAGGGCTGCTCCTGTATTCCATTTTGCTGCTTTTAGCAGAGATCTCATCCTGCTTCTCATGTCCATCAGCAAAGCCTTTAATTTTGGGGTTGTCTACAAGTTTCTGTCTCCAGATTCCCTCTTTATCCTTTCTGGATGCATGTGATTTGCGAGGCTTATCTTGATGACAGCTTTCCTTATATACGAGTCTAGTTAAGATGCCTTCTGCCAACATGATGACAAGTGTGAGTAACAGTCCAATCATCAGAGTTCCATGTGGTCCTGCAAATGAAAGGGAGACAGGCAGAGTATTTCAAACTTATTTGGACAAAGAGGAATAATTACAAAAAGTGCATCGTTCGTTTTTTATTAAGACGGTGATTTTTCTTTTTCTCTAGAATATTTATTTTTAGTCAACAGTAAACTGCATGCTTTTCTACAATTTTAACCTCTATACCACGTCAACAAAAATAATTGTGAAGATATAGGAAGGGCATTAACTGGGTTCTTCATCTGTAATATCACTTCTGTTTGGCCAGTTGAGATAGATTATACTTATGAGCTGTAAAAATCAGCAAAATTATTTTACTTGTCTATATTACTCCCATCAGTTGCAAATCAACTTTTTTGTATTGAAAGACAACAATTTCTAAGAGCAAAAAAGGTGACATAAGATGGAAATCAAGATCAAATTAAGACTTAGAGGCTGATTCTGAACTGGCCTGAGCTCTCCTGTGAGGTGCCAAGGAACTTCAAAAGATGCTGAGAGTTCTTCAGGACTGCATCCAAAATGCAGTTCACCTATACAAATGTTTTTAAGAGTCCCTCTTAATGATGATTTTAAAGATATAAATAGTTAATTTCTCAATAGTGATGAATAGTACATTTATGTACCCATAGGCTCCACAGTTTTACTAAGTGCACGTGAATAATTAAAAGCTAGCCAATATGTGTCACAATAATCTACTCGTTTAATGATTCCTTATCATTCTTTTTCAATTCACCTACTGTTAAAACCAAAGGGAATCTTTCCTGTCCTAAACTCACTAAGGAAAAGACCATCACCTCTCCTGTTAAGGATAAATGGGAAAGATGAACACAAGAAAAATCCCCTCTGTTCTTCAAACATCTTTTTAATCTCCGCATATTCCAAATACCTTCACACACCTCTAGTGTGCTCACGGTTTGGAATAGTGGGGAGAAGCAAGGGATGAAGCATTTTACTGAAGAGTACATAGTAAATCTCCCAAAGAACGTGACATACTGGCAGGCCATTTGAAATACACCAAAACCTCTACTTAGATCATGGACAATTAAGGCTCAATACTTTTCACAGTGCTGGCAATTTACACCAGTAGTAATACCTTGCAAGCTACTAGACAGAGAGCTCTGCAAACAAACAAAACCTCTGCAAATTCACTCCGATATTTGATACATAACCAGAAAGATCCTCCTCACTCTACTCATTTGCTTCTAACTATCAGCAACCAAACCACATACTCCGGCTTATTTGTTCTGCAATTAAACTTGATACACTGGGTCACTTTTTTTTTTAATCCCAGTACTCCTTCCAGAAAGCCACTCTAAATCTCCAGTTACTTGAGAGATGGAAATTTTCAACCTCCCTTCTAACTTTACACATTGCCACAGTACAAGCGTCTGCTTTTTTTCTTTTTCAGGGGTCTTTTTTAGCTTGAATTGCACTGTTTGCTGTTCCCTGAAACTAAAGTAAACACTGGAATTGCCTGCAAGTGAGACCAAAGCAGATGAGAAAGGCTGTACACCATGCCTTCTCCTGGCTACATTAGCATAACTATTTATCTACAGAATCATTTACATATGCAAAAAAGCAGGACAGCATTTTCTTAAGCACTTAAGGAACTTAGGAAACCAAGTGCCATTTTTGAAAGAGACACGAGTACTTGGCAGTCTAAATCTTGCTGAACAGTCAATGGAATCTGGAATGCTGCATGCCTCATTTACTTCTGAAACACAGGACACAGGTACCCAGATCTTTACATACTTAAAAATTTTTCTGTATTGCTTCAAAAATGCTTATAGTGCGAATCCAATAGCTAAAATAGGGTAATCTTAGGAAAATTGCTCTCTTTCAAATAAAGTAAATGGTGCCTGCATTCTGGAACAAAGCGTAAGGGGAAAAGAAAAAAAAAAAAAAAAAGTACAAAAAGCCCAGACTTACCAATCCTAGTAGAGTGAGAGAGGCGGATAATCACATAGCCCAGAACTCTCCTACTGCTGCTGCTGCAAGAGAACAGATTCTTACATACTCTTTCTTCACTGCTGTGTGGAAAAAAAAAAAAATGACATACCCATGATTTAGTTCCTCTTTTTTTCCTTTTAAAACAGAAGTGATCCCACTGGAAAAGTGTGTGGTTTTGGTAACAAAGCGACAGGAGATCTAAAAGAGGATGTTAAAAAAAAAATGAATTGAGGTATTTCTGACTGTGGTGCAATGCTGATGAGCTGCTAACTGCCATAATGCATCATTTAAAACCAAAGACTACTAAAGGATCCGGGTGCCTGCACTTCACCAGGCTGTTCAAAATTGAAACCGCATTCCACCAAACACTTCCATGTACAGAAGTTCAGTTTTGTTCTATCACCCACCTGACTTACAGGGCGCTGTTATTTACACCATTTCCCCTTTTGAAATAAACAGCTAAATTTATAGTCTTGTGACCTGCTTCTGGTGGGGAAGAAGTTGATAACTTCTTTTCATCAAGACACCAATGCAGTATCGCTTGTCTATAAAACGCAAATACGGGAATTTGCTCTCTGAAAGCAGCAGCCATCAGACAGCTGTGAAAATCATGTCGCTCACTGACCAAAAAGCACTTTCTTTGGGCTTAAAAATGACCTGTCTCAATGGCAGGTCAGAGGTGCCCCTGCAGTGTTTTTAGTATGTCCTTCTCGCACAGGCTGAAGCCGAGCTCGTGCACCGAGTCACACCACTCCCCCAGCACTAGATCCAGTCCATAGACAGCCTGAAGAGCTTTCTGCTGAGGCCTTTTCCAAATTTCATTTTTCTCAGAAGATAAAAAAATCAGAAGCTAACTCCCATCCAAGTATTAGACTAAGTCTCTTAAATAGACTCTGTTTAGTGTAACAATAAGAGCAAGACACACATGTAAAATAAAACTAGAGTGCAAAGATTAACATTACAGCAACATATTGATTGCAAATCACCACTCAACATGTTTTGGCAGTAAAGTAATGATGCACCTTAGAAATGAATCAACGTAAGGTTTGAAGTAACTATGACCATATAGGTCCAATGGAGTCTCTTTAAAATTATTCCTCTTTGCTGCTTTTCACCTCTATTTCACAAAAGACTTCAGTTTTTACAGAGGCAGAATGAAAGCTTTTTTTAATTCCCACTGAATTTATATAAAGCTCACTTTGTATTTAAAGGCCATTTAAAGTTATTTTTAATTATCTTACAGGCCTAATTTCTGCCATGGCAGATGTGGTAGTGACTTTCAGAGTACTCCTACCCCCAGTCTCGGAGGCAATCAAACCTCACAAGAACTTCATGGTTCAAATTCCAAGTAGTTTTAACCCTTGGCTCCTCCACTGAGCTTGTAATTCGCGCCAGCTGCTGCCCTGGGTTTTGTGCTGCAGTTCCAACAAAACACAAAAGTAACCGGGAGAGAGAAAGGGAGAGGAAGAAATCAAGTTAGGTAATTAGGCTTGAGTGATTAAAAAAGTCACCTTTCATTTCGGTTGTATTCAGGTGTCAAATGCATCAATATTCAAGGAAATTAATACCTTTCTGTCAATAAGATCTTATCAGAAACCCTCTCATATTTATAAAAATAGAGTAAGATAGAACCAAAGTTGTTTCAGAAGCTGAAAACAGACCACAGCTAGAAGAAGCGGTCCGCAAGAGATATACGTCTGAATCCCGAGGCTAAACTTAAAGCAGAACATATAAAGAAAAATAAATTTAACTGGATCATTCAGATCGGGACCGACCGACCAGGACCGTCCCGGCAGCGCCCGGGGCCTCCTCAGGCCGCGCAGCCGAAGTACCGAAGGGGGCGTGTTTTGACGCTGACTGACAAGAGGAACGGCCAATGGAGAAGGCGAGGCAGGCTCGCCTCGGTCGCTGTGTGGCGGTTGGTTGC